CCAGACCTCATGTCCCTGCTCCTCCTGAATCTGGAAAATCAATCCTCAGACATTTCTGGGATCCTAGAATCACTTAAAATAATGGGTTTCCAGTTTGAGAAAGCTAAAAGAGTCTTCCCCAAAGTCAGTGGCACTTTCTGTGTGTGAAACTCTGAATCCCATCATCCATGGCCAATGTGAGAACAGCCTCAACAGGATTTCACCTCTGCATAGGGAATTCCAGATGAAATCCTGATAGTGATGAAGGCAATGTGATCCCCGTCTGTCCCAATGTACCCTAACTGCCTACCAAGGTCTCTATCCTAGCTGACTTTTATATACAGATAGTCCTTGCTTAGTGACCACAATTGGGACCAGCAACTCTGTCACTAAGCACTGCAGTCTTTAAGCGAAACATCACGTGACTGGGACTTACGGTTTTACTTCTACCTTCTCTATTTAACTCTGCTTGTTGCAAACTAATTGCGAAGCACACAGATGGCCATCACATGACTGTGGGATGCTGCAATGGTCCTAAATGCAAGGATTGGTCCCAACCCTTTTTTTTTTACACTGTCATAACTTTGAACGGTCGCTAAATGAGGCAGTCAATAACCAAAGACTACCTGTAAAATAAAATAAAGAGGAAGCCAAGATGCTACAAAACACAGCCCTCCAGCATCATACTTATATGTAGTAAATCCTTCAGGCCTCACAAAGATCCACTAGCAGGATGAAGAACATTCTATTAAACCAGTGTTTTATGCCCATCATGCAGCCAGTTTGCAAATGTACCCACTACATATCCTCAATTTGTTCAAACACATCCATAGTCCAGAAGAGTTGTCTGCTCCAAATTGCCTGCATTGTACAGACCTATGTGAAGTTGCTGAAATCAGAATCTGATGTGATAGAAACTACTAATCTGAGATAAGAATGCAAGCCAAATTATGAAGAGGAAAATTTCTTATGATGCTTAGTGGGATCAAATGTATTTATTGTACTCAGTAAATGTGCAAGAATGTTTAATTCATATGTTAAATGCAAATTAATATATGCAAATTAAACTATAATTAAATTATCCAAATAGGTGTTTAGCATCAGCAAGTAACTCATGTGTTGTCATTGATAAGCTCGCTGGACTGCAGTTAGCACATCAGTGGTACATTCATTTATTGTCCTTACATATAAATATTTAGCTTCCAATCTGTTGAAACAATTATATTTTTGTATTTTTTTAGTTTAATGTTTTCCTTCTGTGGATGTTTTACATGTGTATACTATTGGCAGGCATGTAGTAAGCATATGCCTCATATTATGTGCAGAGTCTAAAATCTCTTTAGTCAGTGAGTATCTGGAATGCCTGGGTTCCAAGTCTAATGTACTGGTTGTCCAAGATTAATCAAAAAGTCCTTTTCATTGCCTTTGCAATGTTTCTTATTGCTTCTACTTATTTTAATACACCTTTCATCAAGTTTCATAGCTAAGGATCACTGTCAATTCTCCATTCTCAAGGGGATGAGTTTACATGGCAACCTGAGTCATGATTAGGCCAAAGTTAAGGTTAAGAAGGATAGTCTTGATCACAGTTGGCATCCATGGTTTATAGAAAATTTATTTATATTAACCATTGCTCTCTCTGTCATCCAAATTCAGATGGGAGGAGTTAATAGGGTTTATCCTTCCCCTATTTCCTGCCCTTGAAGAAAGAGTGTTGCTTTATCTGCAGAGTCTCCATATATGACAAATATTGCCTTGCAGTTATAATTTTGGGTTTTTAAAAAAATTAATGGAAAACTTATGGGGAAATTTGAATATATAAAAGCATCAGATAAATCTTGAAGATTGTTTGTCTCAAACATCTATTATTCCGTCTAATTACTCCAGATACTAATGCTATTTCAGAAATTCCAGAGAAATATTTTAAAATGAGATTTGAGTTTGAACAGGAATTAGATCTGTGGAGGATAAGCCTACCAATAGATATTAAACTATGGCTATGCGCCATTTCCAGTATCAGGGGCATGCTACCTTGGGAACACAAATGGGTTGGAAGTTTTGCAGTTATGACCAGCTTGTGGGCTTCTCATAGGCATCCGACTGGCCATTGAGGCAATGGGAGTTTGGTCTGATCCCGGATGAGATCTTGTGTAGCATTTAAAAACTAGCTAAATGTGAGAGAAGTAACTGCCAGTAAACAGCAGCGATTTCAACATCATACCTAGATCCTTTACCAGAGTGTCTTCTGATGAAAAACTCAAAATGCATTGGACATGAAAACACTAGAAAAAATGTGTGTGGGAGGGGAGACCTCTCTAAATACTAAAGAAAAATGGAGGTTATTGCTGCAATGAGACCTTCAGTCATTTCAAAGGTTGATTGTCCAGAAAAAAAAATGTGGAAATGAAATGCAGCCTGCTGCTTTGTCCTGATGAGAAACACTTGCTTACAAGTAAGGGCAAGCAAGGGCTACTGGCAATGTAAAAAGAAACACTCCAAACATTTATTCCTCTTCACAAGCTTAATGCCCTCCATACGTGTTGGAAAAACTCACAGCAGCCCCAGCCAGCACGGGTCAGCACATTTGAGAGCACCAGGCTGAGAAAGACCATCCTTAAACATTTGATTCACTCAGGGTGTTTGTGTTTTCTTTTTATTGCAAAGCATGTTCTGTTGCCACCATAAAGTAAGAAAGACAGCGGGAAACCATGCAGGCCTTGTATTAGCAAACATAAACATTGTGACTATTTCTTTTATTGTTACAAACATTAAACCAGAAAGTAGCAGTAACATGGGCTTTACTCCTAGCACACTATTTTGTGTTTCAAGCCCTTCTTTCTATGGGGGAACGTCAGCATTCTGCTTTTCCTCCTACTTGGCTGCTTACCGGCATCACTCATTTGCCTTGGGGAAGATTTTTGGGTTTATTTGGAGCAGATATTCTAGGCCCAGCCTGCCTGATGTATGTTGTGATGCTTCCTCATATATTCAATTGTTATATTTTTAAACAAAACTAATAAGTTAAAAAGGTGAAGTCTCCTTTGCATTGAGCGTAACTCCTGATGACTCTGTCCAGCTTTCTCGGCAAGTGTTCAGAAGTACTTTGCCTTCTCCATGGATTTTTTTGGCACTTCCCAGGCTAGCCTCCGGCTGGGCTAGACTGGGAAATGCTTGCTAGGCTCCCAGCCCAGCCCATCTTCTAAATCCAGACAAGGTCTGATGTTGATCTAGCTCTGAAAGAGAATGCCCGTGCAATTTCTTTGGGTTTGTAGAGCATTAAAATGGGAAAATAGAAATAGGCAGTGACTTTGGCAAGTAAATAGTTACTGAAAAGAGATAACTTTTTAAAGGAAATGTCTGCACTGTTGTATTCTAGTCATATCTTAAGATTTTTTTTCCCCTTGAAATTAAAATAGTTTGTGTATCCACAAGGGGTATTCCACTGCCAAAGTGAAGGCAGGACAAAGGTCTTTGTAACAGTAGGAAAGGGCTATCTTCCCCCATCTTCTAATCCTCCTTGCAAGGTAGGCCAGTTGGTCACAGCCAGAAATAGCCAGAAACGTCAGGAAGAAGAAAAGGAATCTGGGTATGTTTTGATACTGCTCAAGTGGGGGGAGTATGATTGACAGTTGCATTTCTTTTAACCAATACACAACAGCATGGCTCTGTTCATACGATATATGACCCAGCTATCCTCTCTCCCAGACAATTGACGTTGGCTGCACGTGATCTCAAATTACTCTGTCAATCATCTGGAAATTGTATTTTCATTCCTCCAGACATGACAAAGGACGCTAGAGAAGATAACCTCCCTCTTTGTTTACCAACTCCCCCACACCTGGAGGAGAAAACAGTGATTTTTTTTTTTTTAATGGTGGTACAATCAAGAAGTCGTACACCACCCACCCCTTTCTGCCCTTTTTCAGCCTCCACCCACCCTCATCTTGTCATATAGGGATGAAAATAGTAGCAGTCACAGAAACAGGATGCCTAGAGAAACTCTGCCAAGTCAATCAAGGGTTACTTTAGCTCCAAACAAGAGCAGATCTGTTTGGAGCTAAATCTAATACCTTTGGGTTAATCGGCTACATCAACTAACTCAGTTTTTTAGTATATATGGCACTCTTCCTCCCTGCCTCCTGCTCCCTATGATCCAATTAAGTGTGTTTTGGGAACAGGGTTATTATGTAGGCTGAAGAATCACCAACATGGAGGTGGAAGGGTGAGGGTAGACTTTCCTGGATATGAGAATGAGCAAGGAAGTACAATCTTCCTGTCAGATAGCTGTGTGTATTTGCAAAAGGATGTTACTACAGGAAGGCAGGAAATGAAACTATTGTCCCAGCCAGTTTGGTTACTAAATGCCAGCCAGCTACCCAGACCCACCCCTCTTTACAGTTTCATTTTTATACAGAAGTGGAATAGTGGTAGGATCCTGTCCAATACTCTTATATACACTCCTCTGATGAATTTATATGGTCTTGCAGGGCTGCATCTTGCAAAAACATATTTGATTTTCCACAGTAAAACAATTCTTCGGTTTTCAAGCAAGTTCTTTCACATTAGGATTTCCAGATAATTCAAATTAACTTTTCGGGCACATTATGCAGAGACGTAGCACTCCTGAGAAACCTATGATGCTGGGAAAGGTAGAAGGAAAGAGAAGAGGACAACCAGCAGCGAGATGGATGGACTTGATTACAGGGGCAGTGGGTGCATTGTTGGAAGACCTGAAGGTTGGGGACAGATTGTCCTGGACGAGGTCTATCTATGTAGGGCTAAAAGTTGTCATTGACTTGTGATGTGTAATGTAATCAATCAATCAATCAATCAATCACTCACAGACCACAGAATTTGCACACCACCGCTTTAGTACAATGCCATCTTAATTATTTTAGAGTCCTTCACTCTTGAAACCAATTATTTCCTTTCATCAATTTGGCCAGAAGTCCAAAAGTGCCACCCTCTATTTTGTTTTTCCAGATTCAAACCACCTGCTCCATCTCTAACTACAGTTTAAGTCAAACCTTGCAGAGCGTAAGAGCAACAGAGAGGGGTACCAAGCAGACAAGCAAGGAAACCAAAACTGTGACTGTTCCTGCTGGTGCCTGAAGGACAAGGGTCCTGGTAAGCAAGGAGCATTTGGCAAAGTACTCAGCGTGGATTCTCACAAAGAAGGCATCTAGGGTGGGGCTGGACACAGGGCAATCCATAATTTCAGCCAATAGCCCAGTGCAAATGACAAGTTCACTATATATGCTGCAGAGGGAGAAAAATGGAACAGCTGTGAGGAACGGCAAAAATAAGAGATGCTCAACCAAAGCAGGAGCCCTTTGGCTTTCATGTGTAGAAAAGGCCTCTCTTTATTATTCCTTCTAATCAGCAAATCAGCCTTATGCATTCTTTTACAGTATTTGACTACAATTTCTATCACCCTCAACCTGGTGCATAATTGCAAACTGTAATGGATTAGCTAGGATAGTCGTAGTTGGGTCATCTGGCTGGAAAACCCTAACCCTAGGGAATCTTAATAGTCATCTGGAGGAGAAGCAGTTGTCTCTGCAGCAGGCTGGTGTGAAGGCATGGCACAGACCTCAAAGGGCACAGTTAACATGCTATCCTCCAGTCCTTGAGCCAGCAGAAAATTGTGCCAACATAAAATCTGTTGCTCTGAAAGCTGGGCCCTATTTTGTCACAGTAATGAGGCTAAGTGACTGATGCTGACCTTACTATTTTAATGTGGAACCAGTTAAGAAAAGTGGAGCATTTCTTTCCCCTCACCTGGTAGAGTTGGGGATTATAAATAGGTACATGGTATGAAGATTGCCTGAATGACAGGTTGCAAGCACTAAGGTGCTATTTCTTTTGAAAGAGGACTAAGCCTGTATCCAAACATAGCCCAGCAGACAGGACACAGGCATGGAGCCATGATGAAACAGGAAGAACCTCTTCTTGTCCCATTCATGGAACTGATTTGTCTTTGATGATGCCTGGCAAACTCATTTGGATGCACAATATTATCTGAAACTTCTGCACCGAACTATCCAGTCAGCAATTTGGAATAAGACCATTATTATTAAAGTGATCTGAGTCATATTTCCAAAGAACCAACCATTTCAGCGAGCCAACAAGCTGAACTTTCACAACATCTAAAGACCGTCGATTGAGGAATTCATATTTAACCATCATAAATCAGCTTTCTGAATTTGGCAGGAATGTTCATTTTTCATAAAAGAGGCTCTTCTCCAATGTCATATTAGATGTTATAAGAGTCAAAGCACCCTTTCTCTGTTTATATCTTTACTTAAATTGTACACTGACTTTTAAAAAGATTGTCTGGGTTCTTTTCCGTCTGAAAAAAGAACCAAAGATCTTTCAAAAGGAGAGGAAGAGAAGACGCACTCTGTGAGCACCACTACTCTACCAGGAACCAGACTTCAAAGATCTATACCTGCCAATCATTTTCCAGAGGCAACGAGTACCCTCAGCTGTAGTTGTGATGGTGGCATGAAACCTGGGCCAGCAGTACAAGGCTATCTGATCATTGTAGATTTCATCACAGGCAACGACTTGGTCTTCCTCTTCAAAAAATTCTGGTGGAGGAAGAGAAGATCAGTCTCAGAAAAAGGGAAATTGGCAAAAGGATAGGAATAAATGGTGAGAGCAGATGATTATATTTCTTAAAATGCATTTATTGGTAAAACTTACTTTAAGAAGTCTTACATTTTGAATTTATAAAATTCTTGCTTCTGATAATCAGCCAAGCAAAACATGAATGTTATAGCTAGATCAATGTGTTTTATCTGAGTGCTTTTACACATGACATTCAAAATGCCCTTGAACCTTTCTTGTATATTCAATCCAACATTGACACTATAGTTAAATTGGATACAAGAAAAAGAAATGTACTATAGAACCTATTTATATATCATATGTTGGCACAACTTATATCAGCCAACTCTCACAGTGCCCAAATACCATCTGGTTGCTATCAGATCTGGTAGTCTAACAATGGCCAGCTAAGATGTGCTGATAACTACCAATTTAACTATTGTAAAAAGGGTAAGATACATTTATAGTATATGAGTACTGTAGCTACTAGTCTGATGGCTATATACTGCATCTGAAATCAAAGGTTGTTGTAGACCAGTTGTTAAGAAATAAGTGTGGAAGAGGGCTATCAACCTCCTGTTTGTGAATGTGATTACATACTGAATAACACAGAATGCTGGACTTGTCTGATCTAGCATAGCGCTTGCTAAATTAGACAGAAACTATATTTCTGAGAAACCTAATAATAGGTCATGGAAACAACAGATTTTTTTTCCCTGTTGTATCTGGAACTGAGAAACAGAAAATAGCCACTGATATCCTTTCTTATGAAATCTATCTAATATCTTTTAAAATCTAAGCCTCCAGAAAACACTACACATCTTGTTGCAAGGAGCAACATATTACCGAAGGAACACTTTTTGCCTTTCCTGACAAAAGTAGGATTTCTATATACTTTATCTACATCATAATTCTATGATGCAATAAGCTTGTGCCAAATCTGTTTTTCTAGAATTATTAAGCTGAGCAAAGGGAAGGCATGATCAGAAATGATACCAAGAATCACGCCAGGATCCCATACAAAGAAATGATTCTCCCCCTGTGATTTTCTTCTGCTTCCTTGAACACTTAGGCAGAATTCGGAGGAGACGTCTTGAATATTTCTCATTCTAATTAAACCACATGTAAATTATGCATAGAGTCTGAAAATGTGCTATGGGTAGTTAGTGTCAGATGCGAATATTCCCAGTATAGCAGAAGAGGCAGATATAGATAAGATGGTAGTTAAGCAAATCATTTTAGAATACAAGTCTCATTAAGTCAGAAGCCAGTAACTAATAAAGACAAAAGCTCCAAAATAAGGTTTCTTATTATGCAATATTAGATAGAGATGGAGTGGGAATAGGACATTACACTCACCTTCTTCATCCAGGTATAGATAGGAGACTAGAAGAGGAAGACAAATAAATGTTTAGGAATCACAGAGGGACTTGTAACAAGGATATGGCCGATCTAGAGCTCCTGTAGCTTCACTTTTATTTCTCAGGATGTTGTGAACTCAGCTCAAGATTAAAAACTTAAAGAAAATATTAACAAATTAAAAGCTTGCTTAATCATAGCTTGGGGCTAAATCACTATGGCCAACTTTATGTATCTTAACCCATAAATGAAGGATATACAACCTTTGGCAATTTTAGGACATGTTGTGGACATTATGGCAAAAGGGATGCTGGGCCTTGCCTATATTTACCAGGTGACTGTCATGATGTATGATTTATTGAGCCACAAAATATTCACTTACCAGAATGCAGATGGATGAGTTTGCTCCCTGCTCAACCACTCAGGGGATGTTCTCCCCACTCCAATACAGTATTTTGTTTTTCTGGGCACATCAGTACCCTTTCAAACAAAATACGGAGCTGCAGCTCTTACTATATTTATTTTCCAAAAACTACCATGGAGATTATATCAGGCATACAAACATCCTTGGAAAAAAGATGTTGCTGAGACAGGTTAAGCAGAGGGCCAAGTAGATACCAAAGGAGAGGGCTGTGGATACAGCAGTCCCATGGCCACCTCTCCCAGTATTCAGGTTAATGGCAAAAGCCCATTGTGTCTTTAACTGTTCCTCACAGTATTTTAATGACTGATTAAGGCACTTCTGTTTCAGGATTCAGATCCAGTTTTTAAGCAGCACCAGATTTATTTTGCAATATAGTTGATCCAACAATGTTTGTTTTTGTTTGTTTGTTTTAAAGAAGCAGTAGCTCACCATTACAGACAACTCTTGCCTTATCCTTCCTCCTCAGGAACCAGAGAAAGGTAGCAGGGCAATTTCAGTTTCATCAGCACCATGAGTGGGTGTGCAACATGCCAGATGGCTGGTTCCTTTTCTTCCCCTTTCCTGCCCTCATGGAGTACAAGTAAGAGGATTATTGTTGCTAAAGAACTTGTGGCAACTCAGAGATAGGGGAGTGATTTTCCTCCCTCATTCTCAGTACAGGTAGCCCTTGTTTAGTGACAATTGGGACCAGCAACTCGGTCATTAAGCGAAGCAGTCACTAAGCGAAACCGCAACTGTGCTTATGATCTTCCTTCAGCTTTCCTTTGCTTTTCAGACCTGTGAAGGTCATAAAAGTGAGGATTGGTCATAAAGTTATTTTTTCATCACTGTCATAACTACAGATGGTCACTAAATGAGGCAGTCGCTAAATGAGGACTATCTGTACTTCAAGCTGACAGGACAAGCATAGATTGCCTTCAAACTGTTTCTGAAGCCACTTCCACAAGTCTGCTTGCTGTACTCCCCCTGTTGTCATAATAATCTTCATGCTGCCTAGCAACGGACCCAACCATCCCCTTCTGGCACTGGCCATGGCTCCTGGCATGGTCAATATGGGGAGCACAAAAACAAAAAGGCACTTGGTGGGCTGCCCCCACATCTATCACTCTATCATTGTTACCTTTTTGCAGTGAGGGAAGAAAATACAACCTAACCAGCCACTGTTAAGGAAGTGGAATGCTGCTCCTCTGAGGAAGAATCTTAAAGCCGCCCAGAGTCACCCGTTGGGGGGAGATGGGCGGCATACACATACATACAAATGGTGGAATCCAGCATACAGTAAGAATTCCTGCCCATGGACAGCCACTCTGTCTGGCAGCTCCAGAGGAAGTGAAGTGAAATAATTCACGTGCAAAATTAGTTAGCCTATCAAAATGGCCAGGAGCCCCAATTTATCTAATGGACATGCAAGAGAGGGACCAAATCCCCAGCATGTCACAGATCACTTAAATAGTGATGAGAAGGTGGGCAGATATTGGCCAAGGGCCAAGTTCAAAACCAGCAAATGAGAAAAGCATAGCAAAGATGGTCCTTGCACTTTTTAAAATGAAAGACATTCTAGCCAATTTCCTGAATTTTCCAGGACAAGAGTGAGGTTTGAAAATATAGTAGAATGCAGTAGACCTCAGTTTTGTATGAAATTAGCGCTCCTCATCTTGATTGAAATACATGTTTCTCCAGTTTCTGTCACCAGACTCTAAGGCTTCTTGCATTTTGACTGGTTTATCTTGTACTCATGTCGACTCCTAAGTCCTGCAAACTGGCATCTGTGATTATTATCACCAGTTTACCAAAGACTGGTTTACCTTATCTTCTGCTGATGACTCCCTGGTTTCTGTGACTGAGATGGCTTTTGTCTGTGGCTTGGCTTATCTTGGTTAATATTTTCCTGTACAGTAAATATTTACAGCTGTGTTTTCCCTTGTTCACAAAGCCTAGAATCTTGACTACTAGCTTTGACTCTGAATATCAGACTAGCACGTTAACTACTTCTTATGTACATCATGGTGACCATGCAAATTAAACATTACATGGCTTTTAGTCAAGCTTGGAGCAGGACCTTAACAGCCTGGAGTAGGATACTGTGTGAAGAATTTGGAAAAATGTAGAGAAGGGGAAAGGAGAACAGGATAGTATTTGTGTTCTGCAAAAGACTGTCTTCCTTGTTTCTAGAAAACAAGCACATATTTTGCTTACCTTCATCATCAAGGTCACTGTAGATCTGCCCCATACATCCTGGAGAAAAGGAGAAGAGGTTCTTGCATGACTATTACGGGACCTTCATCAACTTGCCCTTCAGTGTCTGAGCCTGTTGCACACCCTGATATGGATATCCTTCCTTCTTATGTTTGCTCTTCAGAATTAAAATTTAATTACAATAATCTGGGGAGATCTTTAAGGGATCTATTGGCTTCACTGCAACCATCAAACCGTTTCCTAATTTGGATGACTTATGGCAACTTGTATTGTAGAGAAGATCTCTAAGCTGCTAATCCTTCTCTCTCCTGGCAATAAATATCTATCTTTCACTTGAACAGTTGCAGACCTCCCTTGGGCTTAGACACTACACCTATTCT